TTCTTACTATAAAGAGAAAACCTCTGTTTTTCTGGACCTATTAGCCTGGTATTCATATTTTATAAGGGAAGGTAATACATTACCAATAATCTGTTTAAACAAACCAGTATCTGTGGTGATGGAGAATAGATGGTAAAAAATATGAAAGATATTGACTAAACTGACCTGGCGCACAGCGGGGTTCCAAGTAAATACTACAGTTTTTAAGACTGTGACAATGATGTTGGTAACATGTCAACATGGTAGATAAGAGGACACCTGTGATACCTGTGCTGGTGTCTACCTGTAATACCAGCTCTTAAGATGCTAAGGCTGAAGGGCTATGATTTCAAATATGGCCTGACAGTGAGACCTGGGGAGAAATAGGGGTGGAGAGGGGGGAAAACCACAATAATGTGGGAGAAATGGAGGACCTGTCTGGTTGGTTGGTTGGTGTTAAGACATCCTAAGTTTCTTGTCCTTGTGGCTTCATCATTTCTGACATACTAAATTGTGTTTAAATTATTTCCAGATTATTAATAATTTGGAAATCGGCCTCCATACACATGAATTGAATATTACAAACGACTAGAGTCACTTTTCCCTAACATGTAGCAAGAGAAGAGAAGAGATGGGTGTTTGTTCAGTTGTACCCTCTGCAAAACTATGTAAGCTTTGGAAAAACTATGTTTTTTTTAAATTTTTTTATTTTTGGTTCTCCAAAGCCTCTAGGTATGTGGCAGGTAATAGTCTATCAATCCACATGTCTGGTAAATAAAGAGTCATGCATTATATGTAAATCTTGTCATAGAGAGCCATGGTTCACTGGCTTGAGTCTTTACTCTGTTGTCTTTAGCTCTGTGGCCAATTCCAATGTGAGCCTATCAGGGGCAGGCGAGAATGTGAGAAGCCTTTGAAGGAAATAGAGCCTGTTATTAACAGTGTTTGCTGTTTTTCTGTAGAATGTGAATAATGCCATTTATTTGAGATCTCTCCAAATTTGTAATGCAGGCATTAAGACTGGATGTACGAGAGTTGAGGTATATAATTCAAAACATATATATTGCTTTTGTCCTGTAGCTCAGGGTTCCTACTGGGACCTTTATCTTAGTCTCTGAGTAGAGTATTGATTGAGAGAACCCCACAGCTTCTGGATAGTCAGACTACACAAATGTCCCACTAGCCATTAACAATGCAGTTCCTTTTAACTTCAATAATGCCTATGGACAAACAAGGGTCATATGGTGTGTGCTCTGATTTTAGTTACTAAAATTAGATATGGAGGGAAAGAGGGTAGGTGAGGACAGTGATGATGGGTGTGCAAAGAAAAAAAAAACTAAGGTAGAGAAAGCTGCACTGGGAATGATGGGATACAGATAGGGTCAGCAGAGTTTAGTGATGGTCGAATCTATGGAAGGTTGTACTTAGCAAGTGAGGAGGGGATGAGAGAAAGGACCAGTTGTAGGAATAAGGGAGGAAATATATGAGACATGAGTGTAACGAATGTCCTGTAGTAAATTGGATGGTGAAACCCACAATCTTGAAACCTCAAAACCAGCATGAAACCTGTGTGCAAGAGCAGAGGTTAAATAACATAACACAAAAAGTAAAAAGAGTACTTATGGAGTGAGTTTCCATTGCAGTTGTGTTTAGTTGAAAGGTGATGTTCTCAGATCCCGTGGAACTAGCAGGCTCTACTTGGTACTGTGGATGGAGAGGCTAGTGGGAGCTGTAGATCACTGCAGCCCCCTGTTCCCTGCAGTCCTGGTGTGTGTGGGAGAGCAGTTTGTAAGTCCTTTCCTGGTGCTTCCCTCAGACTCTTGCCCCACAGCATGGCCTCTTGTGTCCTTCAGGGCCAGTGTGTGTGAAGAGCATCACTTCCCATGCAGGTTTTACTGCTGTCTCAGGGCAGCTTGATTTAGCCAGAGTGGCTAGGACTTGCACCTGGGAGTCCATTCTCAGCGCTCCCATCTGCTTTCCTGAGGAGACCTCTGCTACCTTCATAAGTTCGTTTACAGACTGTCCCTTTCTGGAGGGAAAGACCATATTGTGTATTATCTTTACTGCTTTCTTCTTTGGAGTTTCAGTGGTAAGGATTCTAATCCACCATCTTACCCAGGAATCTTTCTTTCCCTTTCTTTCTTCTTTCTTTCTTTCTCTTTCTTTCTTTCTTTCTTTCTTTCTTTCTTTCTTTCTTTTTCTTTCTTTCTTTCTTTCTTTCTTTCTTTCTTTCTTTCTTTTCTTTCTTTCTATTTTATGTATATGAGTGTTTGCCTGCATGAATGTAAGTGCACCTGGGGGTGCAATGACCTCAGAGATCAGAAGAGGCTGTCAGATGCTTTGAAACAAGAGTTAAAAAAGGGTGTGAGGTGCCATGTGTGAACTGAACACCTAGGTCCTCAACAAGAGGACATGGTACTCTCAACCACTAAGCCATCTCTCCAGCCCTCCTTTAAAAAACTGTCTTGTTGAACCACAAATCTTGACTCATGTTTTCTCCCTTCCTTCCTAGAATGTGGACTGCATCATAAACAGGTATGTATAGGGTGTTAGGAATGCTGCTTTCATGTAGTTTTCAACCAGAGCATAATATCTTCTAGGTACTGTGATTCCAACACTTTATTCACCATATGTGTCGCATCTAGCTCTGCTCTAGATTTAACAGGTGCTTAGTTTATTGTAGATAGGCTATGCCCTCTATGCCTGCCAAGGACACTCATATTTTGTCCTGGGAATAGAAGAACGCCAGTGTGAATGTGTGATTGTATTTAGATTTGCAAAACCAAACTTGAATCCTGGGCCCAATATTTTGGTCCCGGTACAAACCACTGATTCATCTTTATCACATTAGAAGTTCATGGAAAACAACATTACCTTTATACTTAAAATTTATACATCCACCTGCCCACATCAAGTTTTTCCTGATATGGAGATCCTGTTAGTATAAATGCAGTGTTCCTCTCTTCTTTTGCAAATGCCTTCCCTTTTTCTATGAGTGCTTGAGAACTCAGACTCAGTCTGAGTTGGCAACAGGCTTTGAAGATACGTGATTCCTCCATGTAGATTTCCCACCTTTGATTTGCCTTGTGCACCCAGGAGCAGCTTCTGCACCCTGACTTTTAACAACTTTTCTTGGGAGCTCACATTCATGGCAGTGTGTTTTTCACACATTATTTTTCCTTAGGTACTTTAGTTACATGTTGTTTTGAATTCATCATTTCATCATTTTTTATGAGTTGTATGAGTTAGAGCAGAGAAGTTGATAGTTTCATTTTGGAATGGAGGAACTATGCTTCTGAGAAGGGTGGGCTTTCCCAGTGTCACTCATTGGAGCATGAATGAGTTTTTCATGTCTTGAGAGTTAGTGGTCTACCCTTATTTTCCCTTCTCAGCATCCTTGGGCAGTACAAGCATTCGCTATTCACTAAAATGGCAGTAAGTCAATGATGGTCAAGGGTAACGAGGGCTGAGATGTGAACAACAATGTTTTTCAACTTAGATGTGAGACCTTGATCCTGAAGAAGCCAAAAACTATCCCGAGAGGACAAAGAAGAGTGTTCCAAGCTCCTGATCTGAAAGGGATGCTACAAGCCTTGGGAGGTAAGGAGGCCTATGTTAAATGACTTGACCATGGGATTCCACGGGTAGCAAGGGCTAAATTGGAAAGGCTATGAGTTTAGATGTGGATTGAGGGACAAGGAAGTGTATGGATAGTTTGATCCTATTTCATCAGAAACGACCTTTCATCCCCTACCCTATCATAGTTTCCATCCATCCCCTAATGTGGAGTGGAAATTGACTACTTGTTGTGTTGATTCCTTTGCTTGCATTTAATGTAGTGAATTTTTATCATTCTAGAACTAACTGAAGCCCGACGCCACTGGGGTAAGGAGAAATCCCAGTGCCATGAACCCCTTTCCAATGTCTTTCCAATGTCTTTCAGCCTTTTCTCTGTCCGGCTTGATGTTGTAAGTCTCATCCTGTGTCCTCTGATGTGGGTACACACAGTGTGTGTCTGCAGTGCGCTGCCTCTCCTGTGACTTTTGAACAAAGTTCTGCCCTCTTGCTGCTCATTTCTTCTTAGGATTCTCCTAATGCTACAAATTGGGCTGCACCCTGTCCTTCACAGCACTCTTCCTTAATCCTGTAATTTTTCTGCAGTTCAAGTGACACTGGTTGAAAACAGCCATCCAAACATCGCCATTACTGAGGACAAGAGACAGATAAGGTATAAAGTTCATCAGACAGTTTTTCTACAACAAGGTCAGAGATGCCATGAAGGTGTCCTGGGCTACCCAGCCATCCAATCAGGAAAACATTACTGGGAGGTGGATGTGTCTAGAAAAGGTGCCTGGACCCTGGGGTTAAGTGATGGAAGCTACTTCTTCAATCCCATATTTCGTTCAAATGATGAAAGATACCGTAGACCTTCTGGATTTACTTTTGGTTATTCCCTAAATCCCAATTCTCAGCCTCTATCTCCTTTCACTCTTAGTACACAAGTTTTCAGTTATCAGCCTAAATACGGGTTCTGGGTTATAGGGATGCAGACAAGGTTCACATACAAAGCCTTTGAGGAGTGCCCCCTCACCTGTAATCCTAGAGTCTTGACGCTCTCTCTGACTGTTCCTCCCAGTCGTGTTGGAGTGTTTCTAGACTATGGGGCTCACACTCTCTCATTTTATGATGTTTCCAACCATGGAGTTCTCATCTACAGATTCTCTGTAAACTCCTTTCCTGATAAAGTTTTTCCATATTTTAATCCTATGCAGTGCTCAGAACCAATGTCCATATGCTGGCCAGACTCTTAAAGCCTCCTCCTACTCCCTAGATTCTGTACAGCACATATGGCCTGGAGTCTGTCTCATATGCCTGAGCTCATTGGCACCATTTGAACCTTCATTTTGCTGTCTCTAGTCTTTCTTTGTGAATATCCTTCACTCAAATATAAACAAATACTTGCCCTTTTGCCGAGTTTTTCTCAGCTCCTCATTGCTTTAGGAAAGAACAGTAATCCATCATTTCCCAAACTCCTTAGAAATCAGAACTGACTCTTTGTTAAGTGAGGTAACAGAGGCGTCACACTTCTTTATTCTTTTCATCTTTTCCTTCCTTCCTTCCTCCCTCCTTCCTCCTTCCTTCCTTCCTCCCTCCCTCCCTCCTTCCTCCTTCCTTCCTTCCTCCTTCCTTTCTCCCTCCCTCCTTCCTCCTTTCCTTCCTTCCTTCCTTCCTTCCTCCCTCCTTCCTTCCTCCTTATCCATCCATCCATCCATCCATCTGTTGTATGTTTGCTTGGTTGGTTGATTGGTTTTACTAATTCTTCTTCCTTCCTTCCTTCCTTCCTTCCTTCCTTCCTTCCTTCCTTCCTTCCTTCCTCCTCCTTCCTTCCTCCTTCCTTCCTCCCTCCCTCCCTCCTTCCTCCTTCCTCCCTCCCTTCCTCCTTCCTTCCTTCCTTCCTTCCTTCTTTCCTTCTTCCTCTTTCTCTTTCTTCCTTTCTTTCTGCCTTTGTTTTTTCCCTTTTGGATTGTAATTCTATAAGTCAGTATAAACCCTTGTACATGTTAAACACATGTCTACCACTGAGTTACTTGCACTGTCTCTGCCTCATCACTAGAACCCATTCTTTTTGCCACTGACAGAAGAATGAGAAAGTTTTCCTATAGGTCTCACTGGTTACAGAATGAGGCCCAAGCATTAGGTCATCTTAACTATGATGTTTCATCATGAATTAAGGGCAAAATATCACAAAATCATACATACTAAGAGTGGAGACTACGTGTCCAGATTATCTGAGTATAATCTTTCCTCTCCACACATGAACAGTTGTAACCTTGAATAATATACCTAAATGATTGTTTATTTTCTTACAATCTTGGTCTAAATACTTCACCTATAACTTAGGTCAGTGTAAGAAAATACTTTCACTAACTATAAGGCATCCATTGAAATGTCTCAGTTAAGTACTTGTTCTATTAATTACTGACAGATCTATGCTGTATTTGTGTCCCATGAAACAGTGGGCAAATGTGGGAACCAGAGTTGAGTTTTCTGAAGTCCCGTTATTAGGATCCCAGATCACTGCTATCAAGACTACTCATTTTGTCATAGATGTCTTTTTGTATGACTGTTTTTTCTTTATCTCATTTATTTTCTAAGAGGATAATTGTATGTTGTCATATATTGTTTCTTACCAAGTAAACAAAATTCTGTGCTACTCAGAATACACTGTATAATAATAGTGATAATGAAGTTACTTTATGTTGCAAAATGAAAACAGTAGGAGATTGTACAAGCTTGTCTTGTTCTAGCATGTAAGTGGTAATCCAATATGGACCAATTATTAATATTTGGGCTCCTCTACTGCCAGTAAAATAAATGATAATTAAGACTGTGTATCAGAGGCTTGAATGATAGCTCACACCTGCAACTGTGGCATTGAGGAGGAAGGAGGACTGCCATGAGTTTGTAGTAGACCACAGAGTAAGACCATGCCACAATAAAATAAATGAAATGAATAAATGGATGTGTATCAGTTTACTTTCAAAAACAACACCCTACTTTGTTTTAAGAAATTGGATTCCTGAATCCCCAAGTTTTATTTTAACAAAGTGTAAATAAAATTTTTTAGTTTTAAAAAATAGTTCTCTACTCCACAAATATTGACTCTTTTATTTCAGCGTTTATCATTT